CAGAGTTAACAGAAGACCCATAGGAGAATATGCTGTGATCCAGGGCAGTAATAAAAGACTCCCCCGCCCCCCAATTATAAGAGAAAGTTAGTTACCCAAGGTAGTAGAAGTGAGCCAGCTGGGCTGGGTGGGTTCAGGAAACAAGTTACAGAAGCAAAAGAAGGGCCCCTGGAGCTTAGGAGAGAGAAAGGCCAAGGCAATGCGAGCCCAGGGGGAAGGAGAGGCGGGAGGGAGAGGTACAGGAGGGAGAGCACCCATTCAGCAAGATTTCAAAAGCACAAAACATAAGCACCTCCCCCCCCCAAAACCTGATGAACTTGATTACCCTGAAATGAAGGAAGTTTGTTCAACGAAAGACACCTTGGACAGCGTTGAGAGAGTGGGCAGAATAGGAGAAGGCATGTGTGATGTCTAAAGCCAAGACAGTAAGATCTAGAATAAATGAAGGACTCCAGCAAACCAGCAGAGTAGGCAGCAAATCAAATAGAACATGGCCGGGATACAAAGGGGCGATTCGCAGAAGAGGAAAACTAAACCCAATGATGATGGAAATCCTCAGTAATGAGGACGAGCAGCTGACAACAAAGGCCCGACACTGCACACCCACTGGCCTGGGGCACATTCCCAGGCCGCTCCTGCCACGTGGAGGGCGCGTGGGGCTGCAGCCAACAGCGGGCATGTGGCTCCACCAACCAGGGCGGCGTCTGGGAGGCCAAGCTGGCTCTGCTGATGCAAATCCAGTGTTCACACGCCTGGGAGCATGCGAACAGTCTCACCCAGGGAGTGGGACTCGGATGTGGGGATAAAGGGGACACAGACATGCAGAGTGGGGCAAAAGTAGGTTTACAGTTGTTCATGACACAAGAACTCATAAATAATAACACAAGAATAAATTCTGTTTCACGTCCTCACAACTGTGAACCTACTTTTGCCCCACCGTGTACATGCATGCATACAAGGCAGGGGGAGACCCAGCACAGGCTGGCAGTAATGCTGCACCAGGAATTGAGGAACGCACACGCGCGCACACGCACGCACACGCGCGCACACGCGCACACACACGCCTGTGGTACAGCATGAAGGAACAGCCCAAGACCACCCTGTGACCCTGCTATGGTAGGAGAGAGAGACCAGACAAGTTAAAACAACCCCGGAGACCTCTATGGTCCACAGGGCACAGGGATGGAGGTGAGGGTAAACAAAGGCTTCTGTACACCCCAGGGCAACCAGGGATGCTGAGTGTGGCTCGGAGAGGTGGGAAGGGGACAGAGACCTGGGGCTGGGCTGGGGCAGTGGGAGGAGGCATCAGCCACGGCCACACCCACGTTAACAGCCCAGACCCAGACCCCTACCCACACAGGCAGACCCTGAGGTCTTTCTGTCCCTGTCAGGCCCTGGAGAGTCCAGAGGAGGAAACCTCTGTGTTGTCTGCAAGATCCTAGTCCGTGTGTGTGTGTGTGTGTGTGTGTGTGTGTGTGTGTGTGAGAGAGAGAGAGAGAGAGAGAGAGAGAGAGAGAGTTGTGTGAGTATGGGTGTGAGTGTGTTGTTGGAGATGGGGAGTATCGGACAGAGCTATGGAGTTCGAGAATGTAGCAGACATGGGAACTGTTTGCACTGTTTCAGAGATAAAACTGCAACGGTTTCTTTGCTTTTCTCTTTGTTCTTTCATAGCTCATTAAATACCAGCCAGGCAGGACTGGCGAAGGCAAATTTCAGATTGCTTTTAGCATAAGTAAAACAAACAGATTAGGCTCTTTCTTGGAGAAAAATAAGAAAAGGGTTTTGCATGTGAAGGGATAAGGAGGGTGCTGGCAGGACCCGAGGGAAGAGGACCACCAGGGGTGGGAGGAGCAGAGACCCTAAGCCCAGGCCCTGGGCGGCACCCTGGAGCATGTCTAAGGCCCAGGGCCTGTGCTGATGGCGACTGGCCCAGCCCTCAGTGGGCCAGGACTGTCCGCCCCAGAACAGCGCCTACCCTTGCCTCTGGCTGGGCCAGTCCGGAGGGTGCCACCCCTGCTTCTACCTGCCGAGGCACTGCAAGGAAATGATCGTTTCATTGTCCACATATAAAGTTACCTTGTATATCATATTGATGGTGTTTTCAAGCTTCTTATGGTTCTTGAAGAATTACTGCTCTGGGCAGGAAGGAGCGTCAAAGATGAAGAGAGAGAGCACTGGCCCTGAGGCCGGAATCTGGTTCTGACTTGACCCCATCTCTCTGTTAAGCTCCTGACTGGGTTTCCTTTCTGCCTCCTGGGGACCCCCTGCCAACCAGCCCCACCTGGGGCCGTGGCTGCAGCTCAGCACCCCTTGCCAGCTCTGTGGGAAGGGTCTGTATGAAACGCTGCCCTCAGAGGGTCCCCGAGTGGAGTGTGAACTTCTGGCGAGGGGTTCCCAGGCAGACAGACTGAGTTAAACGTCCCGGAACCCTCTGCAATTGTCCTCCATTAAGGAAATGATCATTTCATTGTCCACATATAAAGTTACCTTATATATCATATTGATGGTGTTTTCAAGCTTCTTATGGCTCTTGAAGAATTACTGCTCTGGGCAGGAAGGAGCATCAAAGATGAAGAGAGAGCCCTGGCCCTGAGGCCGGAATCTGGTTCTGACTTGCCCCCATCTCTCTGTTAAGCTCCTGACTGGGTTTCCTTTCTGCCTCCTGGGGACCCCCAGCCAACCAGCCCCACCTGGGGCCGTGGCTGCAGCTCAGCACCCCTTGCCAGCTCTGTGGGAAGGGTCTGTATGAAACGCTGCCCTTAGAGGGTCCCCGAGTGGAGTGTGAACTTCTGGCAAGGGGTTCCCAGGCAGACAGACTGAGTTAAACGTCCCAGAACCCTCTGCAATTGTCCTCCATCGCGATGACATCCAGGGGCACAGCTGGGTTTGGTGCCAGAAACACCTAAATGCCCTACTGTTACCGCAGAAAGGGAGGGTTCAGTGTCCCGTTATCCAGATCGGTTTAAAAACCACACTGTTCTTGTGACTATTTTTACAGTGACCTCTACTTTAAACAATTTTTAAAATCTATTTTTAAATTGATTTCAGAGAGGAAGGGAGAGGGAGAGAGAGATAGAAACATCAATGACGAGAAAGAATCATTGATCGGCTGGCTGCCTCCTGCACGGCCGTACCAGGGATTGAGCCCCAAACCCAGGCATATGCCCTGACCAGGAATCAAACCGTGACCTCCTCGTTCAAAGGTGGACGCCCAACCACTGAGCCACACCAGCTGGGCCAGTGACCTCTACTTTTAACCAGCGGAGCCTGTTTCCACTTAGGGATGAAACAGGGTCCATTTCCAATAGGCTACCTGAGTTAAATTGTTGTATCGCCAGTCAGCGAGCTGGACAAGACTCCTAATGAGCCAATTCGTTAGGCATCATCTTCATTGCGCGCAGGTTCAGAGCAGATGACCTCTGTCAAATTCTGAACAAACACAGGAGGGAGTATTTTCTTTTTATATCCTTCTAGTTCAGTGGTTCTCAACCTTGGCTGCACATTAGAATCACCTGGGAATCTTTTTAAAATCCTGATTTCTGGGCCTCATCCTCCGGAAATTCTGTTTCTTTGTTATGAGGTGGGGCCACAACATTAGTAACAAAGAAACAGAATTTCCGGAGGATGAAGCCCAGAAATCAGGATTTTAAAAAAGATTCCCAGGTGATTCTAATGTGCAGCCACGGTTGAGAACCACTGTTCTAGTTCTTTGTGTAAGACAGCTTGTAACCTTGAATACATATCTATTTAACCAAACACCTGTCATATCGATACAACTTGTAAGTCTGAATACATATTATATCTAATCAAACACCTGTAACCTTGGATGAACAAACACTGGGCAAAATATGTGAATTAATATTAGCAACAGTGTATCAGCCCCTTGAGATGGCTAGCTTGCAAGGTCAGGCAATTAAGTTTATCTTTTCTATTATTCAAGCTAAAAAGCAAAGCTATTTTACAGCCTAAAAATAACAGAGTTGACCCAGGGAATAAGAGACTAAGAATAACAGAGTAGTTCAAACAGCAGTTTTCCCAAAGGAGGGACCACTATGCTTCAAAGTGAGGTGATTTAGGGGGAAATGGTGGCATCCAAATGGCTGGTAGGTATGAGAAACCCAGCCCGGAGTGTGCGTGCGCGCCTGTGTGCAGGGCACGTGGCTCTGTCCTTTGTGCAGCCTCTTTTGTCTGCGGGAACAAATGCAAGAGTTTGTGTCTCTTGAACCTGCGCCCCAAGCGGAGAAGGAGGCGGCCAGGGCAAAGCCAAGGCCTGGAGAAGATTCTGGAAACCCTGACCCCCGGTCTCACCAGCTCCAGGCGGCAAACCCTCCACCGGCCCAGGGGGGCTGGGCGGAGCTCCGCG